ACTAGGTATATTTCTACACCATACGATTTCGTGAGTCATGTTGACGGCAGTGAGGGGACTTGAGCTAGAGTTCGTCACGGCCACGCTAGCTGGAGATTCGTCTGTAAAAACTTGCATTTGTGGTCACAGTGGTGCCTGTGCTAACCTTCCTATGGTGTAGAAATATATCTAGTTGGACGAATCTTATTGTGGCTAGCTGGTCTAGTGGCTAACGCAACGGTCTGGAGTTTTGAGACTCTCTGACCGCGTGTTCAATCCCGGCCGGGGTAAGGTTTCCCAAAATCTGTCTCCTTTAACACTTCTCTCTTCTCCAGGTGCATAAACACTTACTATAACCCACTTTTCACATCCAGCCCTTATTTTACACCACATAATCCTTCCTTGCAGTTATACATTTATATTCCCTCTTTTCCTGCCATATCTTATCCAACAACATTATTGCTACTCCTTCTTTAGCTCTAACTCTATTTAAAACCCCTGACCTAATTCCGTTTATTTCTCCCCACTGAAACTCTCCCACCCCCTTCAGCTTTGTTTCACTTAAAGCCAGGACATCCAGCTTCTTCTCATTCATAACATCCACAATCATCTCATCCTTATCATTCGCACAACATCCACGCACACTCAAACATCCCACTTTGACGGTTTTCTTCTTTTTCTATTTAGTAAGCTATAATGGAAAAGGGGTTACTAGCCCATTGTTCCCTGGATTTTAGTTGACTTTTACAACACGCATGGCTTACGGAGGAAAGATTCTAATTCCACTTCCCCATGGATATAAAAGGAAAAGCAATGAGAGCAAGAGCTATTAAGATAAAATCAAGGAAACCTCAGATGAGTGTGTATAAATAAACGTGTACATGTTTGTGTAGTGTGACCTAAGTGTAAGTAGAAGTAGCAAGACGTACCTGAGATCTTGTGTGTTTATGAGACAGAAAAATACACCAGGAATCTTACCATCATGTAAAACAAATACAGGTTTCCTTTTTACACTCACTTGGTAGGACGGTAGTACCTCCCCGAAAGGTTACTTTCTACCAACCTACTTCCTATAAGAATATATATATATATATATATATATATATATATATATATATATATATATATATATATATATATATATATAACCACTGTGAAAGATTAGCTAAATTCCAAGCACTTTCGTGACTTCTCTTCGTCGCTACTAGGTCACTCTTCCTGCTACATGAGCTTTATCATACCTCTTCTTAAAGCTATATATGGATACTGCCTCCACTACATCACTTCCTGACAACTCTGTGACTGAAGAAATACTTCTTAACATCTCTGTGATTCATCTGAGTCTCCAACTTCCAATTGTGACCCCTTGTTGCTGTGTCCCATCTCTGAAAAATCCTGTCTCTGTCCACCTTGTCGATTCTTCTCAGTATTTTACATGCCATTATCATATCCCTCCTATCTTTCCTGTCCTCCAGTGTCGTCAGGTCCATTTCCCTTAACCTCTCCTCTTCGGAAGTGCCCCTTAGCACAGGGACTAGTCTTGTTGCAATTCTTTGTACTTTCTCTAGTTTCCTTAAGTGCTTGGCTAGGTGTGGGTTCCGAAGTTGTGCTGCATATTCTAATACAGGCCTACCGTACACAGTGTACAGGGTCCTGAACGATTCCTTATTGAGATAAAAAAAAAACCATACCACGGGCGGGAATAGAACCCGCGATCAGAGAGTCAGGGGACTTGAGCTAGAGTTCGTCACGGCCACGCTAGCCGGAGATTCGTCTGTAAAAACTTGCATTTGTGATCACAGTGGTGCCTATGCTAACCTTCCTATGGTGTAGAAATATACCTAGTTGGACGAATCTTATTGTGGCTAGCTGGTCCAGTGGCTAACGCGACGGTCTGGAGTTTTGAGACTCTCTGATCGCGGGTTCTATCCCCGCTCGTGGTATGGTATGTTTGCAATCGTGTCATTACGATTTCGTGAGCCTTATCGAGATGTTGGAATGCTGTTCTTAAGTTTGCTAGGCGCACATATGCTGCAGCAGTTATTTGTTTGTGTGCCTCACGAGATGTGCCCGGTGTTATACACACACCAGGATCCTTTCCTTGAGTGAAGTTTGTTTCTGGCCCCCTAGACTGTACTCCGTCTGTGGTCTTCTTTGCCCTTTCCCAATCTTCATGACTTTGCACTTGGTGAGGTTGAACTCCAAGGAGCCAGTTGCTGAACCAGGCCTGCAGCCTGTAAAGATCCCTTTGTAGTTCTGCCTGGTCCTCATCCGGCTGAATTCTTCTCATCAACTTCACATCATCTGCAAACAGGGACACTTCCAAGTCTATTCCTTCCATCAAGTCATTCAAAAATGCCAGAAACAGTACCGGTCCTAGGATTGACCCCTGTGGAACCCCTCTTGTCACAGGTGCCCACTCCGACATCTCACCACGTACTATGATTCTCTGTTGTCTTCCTGACAAGGATTCCTTGATGCATTACAGTGCCTTCCCTGTTATCCCTGCCTGGGCCTCCAGCTTTTCCACTAATCTCTTGTATGGAGATTTGCATTGTTTCCTCTAGTGCATCCAACACCATATACTGGTGTTGGATGCAGAGACAAGAACAACCTGTTCGAAACCTATGTTGCTCCGGGCTGTGCAATTTTTGGGATTCCAAGTGGCTGGCAATCTTGCTTCTTAGAACTGTTTAAAAAAATTTTATGATGTGGGATGTTAGAGCTGTCTCTATAATTTGCTGTTGCTTTGCTGCCACTGTTATGGAGAGGGGCTATATCCATTGCTTTTAGCGATAATGGGATGACATCCGTGTTTAGGTTTCCTCCATAACAAACTCAAGGCACACGAAAGGGTTTTTTTTTGCGGTTAATTGATGAACACGGAGTTCCACGAGTCTGGACCTGGGCTTAGAGCATGGGCCAATGTTTTTTTTTTTTAAAGTTCAGTGGCGTTAGGATTATATTAGAAATTTGGCATACATTGACATGGTTTGAGGTTCGTCTATGAAAAATTTATTTGGATTATCAATCTTTTGTCTGATTAATTAATGGCTCGCTAAACAGATTCATACTGAGACTTCAGTATCTCACTCATTTCCTTGTTATCATATTTGTAAGTTCCATCTTGTTTAAGCAAAGACTCAATTCTGTAGGTGGCTTTTGCCTTGTTTTTGGCAAATGGAAAGAAATATTTTAGATTTCTTTCAATTTCACTAATTGCTTTAGCTCCTGTCTCTCCCTGGATCCTGTGTAAACCATTTAACTTAAATTCAATATTTTCCTCTTCACCAGCAAGTGCTTGCTTCCGTAATTCAGATAATCTAGCCCCCTTGAGAAGCTCATTGATTATTATTTACTACAGTATATAGAAAACCGCTTGTTATGCTGAGCATTTCCCGCAAATTAGGTCAGTTTTGTCCCAGGATGCGACTCACACCAGTCCACTAATACCCAACAAAGGGAACAACTAATGTCAAAGACCTGGGGGTGATCATGTTAGAGGATCTCACCTTCAAGGGCCATAACATTGTATCAATCGCATCTGCTAGAAAAATGACAGCATGGATAATGAGAACTTTCAAAACCAGGGATGCCAAGCCCATAATAACACTCTTCAGGTCGCTTGTTCAATCTAGGATGGAATATTGCTGCACATTAACAGCACCTTTCAAGGCAGGTGAAATTGCTGACCTAGATAATGTACAGAGAACCTTCACGGCACACATAACTGCGATAAAACACCTCAGTTACTGGGAACGCTTGAAGTTCCTAAATCTGTTCTCCCTAGAATGCAGGAGGGAGAGATACATGATTATATGCACCAGGAAAATCCTAGAGGGACTAGTACCAAACTTGCACACGAAAATCACTCTCTACGAAAGCAAAAGACTCGGCAGATGGTGCAACATCCCCCCAATGAACAGCAGGGGTGCTACTAGCACGATAAGAGACAACACGATAAGTGTCAGGGGCCCAAGACTGTTCAACTGCCTCCCAGCATACATCAGGGGGGGGGTTACCAATAGACCCCTGGCTGTCTTCAAGCAGGACTAGACATGCACCTAAAGTCAGTACCTGACCAGCCGGGCTGTGGTTTGTATGTTGGATTACGTGCAGCCAGCAGTGACAGCCTGGTTGATCAGATCCTGATCCACCAAGAGGCCTGGTCACAGACCGGGCCATGAGGACACTGACTCCTGGAACTCTCTCCAGGTATACTCCAGGTACCCATTTTATACTGATGGGTGAACTGCTACAGCAGGTGTCTGATGGAAACACGTCCCTAACGTTTTCCAGCCGAACCGGAGGAGATTCGAACCCCAGACCTCAGAGTGTGAGCTGAGTGCGTAGCGATCGAGCTACGGGACGCCCAACAGTATAATTTTTGGGACAGAAATGTGCGCATCTAAAATTTCACAACTTTTACTTAGTTTAATGTTTACGATTATATTAATAAATTCCAGACTCTTTTCTCACAACGAGTATAAACTAAATTTTGACATATAACATGACTGTTCATATGAAACCATTAAATTACGTTCAAACACAGATATTACATTGTTGTTGTTTCAAATATGAAGCAACAACTGGAGGACTGACACCTCTGGTGGCTAACGCTGTCGCTTCACACGGCGAGGGCCTGGGTTCGATTCCCAACCAGAGCAGAAACATTGGGCGTGTTTCTTTCCACCTGTTGTCTATGTTCCCCATCAGTAAAATGGGTACCTGGGTGTTAGTTGACTGGTGTGGGTCGCATCCTGAGACACTGACCTAATTTGCCCGACATGCGGAGCATAAGAAGGGGCTTTCTATATAGTAGTATGTCATTGTTGTCAACTAGGCTTGTATACCATGTACATGTACTTGTAGTAAATAAAGATATTATTATTATTATTAAGATATATCCTCACTAATAACATTTCCTTAAAGGCAGAACATCTGACACTTCACAGAAGCAGTACAGCTTTTATGTATTTAGAAATATGCGAGAAATATAAATATTCTTTTATATTTTTCAGGACCAGATAGTGGCTCACATTCTCGGCGAACTGGACAGAAATATAACACCTCAAATTAAACCAAATACTATGGTGAGTATGAACTACGTTCTCGCACAGCGTGTTCTGTAGTCACCACAGCAACACTCGCCACCACTACCCACCCAACTCTATTCGGCTTCACTCATCACCTCGTTAATATCACACTACTCTCCATCACCACATCACTCACCATCACTTCACGCATCAATACTGCTCTTCCCACCAAAACGTCACTCAGCACCTCCCCACTCATCACCACAACCTCATTCTCAATACTCTGTGGTCAGATTAGCCCACCAAATATAACCAGAGGGTGGTTAACATCATGTGGCCTTGCCATATCAGTGGATATGAGGGTTTGTTGCTGATGGCTAGGGTGTTTACTTCATGAATACCCATAAGATGGGGTTTCAAGAATCAGGAAGCACAGCATGATAGCAATCTGGCATAACAATACATCAGAGCCAAGTGAGACTCAACGTATACTTGCAGTACTGGCCTAAGGCCTTTGGCAGGTGGTATACTTGATGGACATGGGCACAGCCGGTCAGGATCCAGCTGTGCCAAGGAAGCTGCACTCACTCACGAAAATACATAAGATCTTCTTTCTGTGGTAAAAAAAACTGGGTTACCAAAAAGCAGGACGGAGACCCAGGGGACTGGTGAATGAACCTGGAATTGAAGATTGGGAGGCAGAGCTCATGAAAAGGGAGGAAGAGTGAGGAAGGAAGCTAGAAGAGCTCAGCAAGAAAACGTGGAAGAGGATAGCTGCATAGAGCAGAAAATGGGAGCTACAAGCCATAGCAGCAGAAACTAAGATACAGAGCTTAGAAGATGAACTAAAAGATCTGATACAGTCTGAAGAACTGAAGGGCAGTACAGCCGTGACATCAGGAACTGCTATGTCAGTCATGGACGAGGGGACTGTAGAGAACAAAGGAGCTGTACTGTATGTGGAGCCCCTATCAGACCCACGTGGAGACCAGGAAAAGACGAGGAGTTCACCAGGAACAAACCAGGGGGCTAAAGACAATGAAGGCTGAGTAATATGCAGAGACTAACAGACAACTGCAGTACCCAGGGAAAGCTGAGCAGGAAAAAAGACAGACCACTGAGCACAGGGACATCAGCTAGCAAAGAGACTGAAGGAAGGAACACTTCAATGGAAGGAACTAAATCGTCTAAGGGGATGCAAAGGGAGACACAGTGAGAGGACGAAAGAAAGAGGTCAGTTTTTGTCTACGTGCTCCAGGAAGTTGAAGGGGAAGCTTATGAAGGAAGAAAACAGGAGAAAAAAAGCGATTGAAAGTATCATCAAAGCAACAAGATAGGACAACATGACCCTGCTGACAAATTTTCTGAGAAATGGGTGGTTTGAAAGAGGAAAAAATGGCCAGTCAAAGTGATTTTCATGGCAGAACCAGCTCGAAACAGGATCCTGCAGGAGAAAGCATGACTAAGGGAAAAACCTGAGTACCCGAGACCCAGGTGGAAGAACAAACACAACTTCCTCCAGAACCACCCAAAGAAGGACTCCAACCACAGCAACTTCAATGCAACTAAACAATCTAAATCAAAATCCACACACTTTACCCTCTACCCCTACCCCCTCATCACAAACCCCACCCCTACACCAACCCCCCATAGGTCCCCACCAGGGCTTGCACTCCCTCAAACCCACCATTCTCCCCAGACCACAGTTTTAGAATGCAGAAGGAATGCAGAAAGAATAACAAATAAATGTGATGAGTGGCTTGAAAAAATCAGCATAACAGTCACAGAAACAAAACTCACTGGGACGATAACAGACACAATCATCCCACCCGGATATGAGATCCTGAGGAAAGATAGAAGGAGCAGAGGGGGATTTGAGGAAATGGAAGGAATGAATAAAATTGGCAAAAGGGTTTACACAGGTACAATTCAGTCTGGGGAACATAAGGTAATCATTGCAGTGATGTATAACCTGCCACAGAACTGCAGAAGGCCAAGAGAAGAATATGAAGAAAGCAACAGAGCAATAGTGGACACACTAGCTAAGGTGGTCAGAAGAGCACACACAAGTAGAGCAAAGTTGCTTGTTATGGGCGATTTCAACCAAAAGGAGGTTGATTTGGAAAACCTGGAGCCACATGGGGGGTCCCAAAACGTGAACAGCCAAGATGATGGATGTGGAACTGGAAAACCTCATGCATCAACATGTTAGGGGCACTACCAGAGAGAAGGGAGGATGAACCAGCAAGACTGGACCTCATGTTCACCTTGAGTATCTCTGACATTGAGAACATCACAAATGAAAGGCCCTTTACAGCTAGTGATCACATGGTTCTGAGCTTTGAATACATAGTAGAGTAACTGGGCAGCAGGAGTAGGATGGAAAAAGCCAAACTATGAAAGGGAGGACTACACAGGTATGAGGAACTTCCTGCAGGAGGTTCATTGGGAAAGAGAATTAGTAGGGTAGTCAGAAAACGAAATGTAGATGACTGGTTCAAAGAACCGACACGTTGTTAAATTAGACACATGTGCAACTCTTGGGTATCTTTATTGAGGAAGCCACTGTGTGGCGAAACGTTTCCTCAATAAAGATACCCAAGAGTTGCACATGTGTCTAATTTAACAACGTGTCGGTTCTTTGAACCATTCATCTACAAGTGACATTAATACCTCAAAGGCGGTGGGACCGGACACTCCGTGGGTCCTTAGAGAGAGAGCTGAGATGCTGTATGTGCCACTAACGACAATTTTCAACACATCCATTGAAACTGGGCAACTACCTGAGGTATGGAAGACAACAAATATAGTCCCCATTAAGAATGGAGATGGAAACGAGGCACTAAACTATAGACCAGTGCCACTGACATGTATAGTATACAAAGCCATGAAGATTATCAGGAGGAGAGTGGTGGGGCACCTGGAACTGAACAAAATTATAAACGACAACTGGCATGGATTCATGGAAGGCAAATTCTGTGTCACAAACCTTCTGGAGTTTTATGACAAAGTAACAGAAGTAAGACACGAAAGAGAGATAGGTTGATTGTATTTTGTTGGACTGCAAGAATGCCTTCGACACAGTTCCTCACAAGAGATTAGTGCAGAAGCTAGAGGAACAGGCATGTACAACAGGAAGGGCACTGCAATGGATCAGAGTACACCTGACAGGGAGGCAACAACGAGTCATGGTAAATGATGAGGTATCAGAGTGGGCTCCTCTGACAAGCGGGATCCCACAGGAGTCAGTCCTGGGACCAGTGCTATTTTTGGTATATGTGAATGACATGATGGAAGGGATAGACACAGAAGTGTCCCTGTTTGCAGATGATGTGAAGTTAATGAGGAGAATTAAATCAGATGAGAATCAGACAGGACTACAAAGACTTGGACAGGCTGGACACGTGGTCCAGCAACTGGCTCCTCAAATTTAACCCCATCAAATGCAAATTCATGAAGATCGGGGAAGGGAGTATAGGCTAGGGGGACAAAGACTGCAAACCTCACTCAAGGAGAAAGATCTTGGGGTGAGTATAACACCGAGCATGTCTCCAGAAGCACACATCAACCAGATAACTGCTGCAGCATATAGGCGCCTGGCAAACCTGAGAACAGCGTTCCGATACCTCAGTAAGGAATCATTCAAGACACTGTACACCGTGTACGTCAGGCCCATATTGGAGTATGCAGCACCTGTTTGGAACCTGCACCGGGTCAAGCACGTCAAGAAATTAGAGGAAATGCAAAGGTTTGCGAGAAGGTTAGTTCCAGAACTAAGGGAAGTGTCCGACGAAGAAAGGTTAAGGGAAATAGGCCTGACGACACTGGAGGACAGGAGGGTCAGGGGAGACACGACAACGACATATAAAATACTGGGTGGAATTGACAAGGTGGACAGAGACAGGATGTTCCAGAGAGGGGACACAGAAACAAGGGGTAACAATTGGAAGTTGAAGACCCAGATGAGTCAAAGGGATCTTAGGAAGTATTTCTGCAGTCATAGAGTTGTCAGGAAGTGGAATAGCCTAGCAAGTGAGGTAGTGGAAGAAGGAACCATACATAGTTTTAAGATGAGGTATGATAAAGCTCATGGAGCAGGGAGAGGACCTAGTAGCACTCAGTGAAGAGGCGGGGCCATAAGCTGAGTCTCGACCCCTGTATCCACAATTAGATGAGTACAATTAGGCGAGTACACACAAATAATGAATCTACTTAATACATTATATACAAAACAGTAGATGAGTAACAATGAAAACAATAAGAGAAAATCACATTTTATCAGTTTTATAATGTAGTGTGTGTCTCTGGCAAGACAGTGATGGAGTGAATGATAAAAGTTTTTCTTTTTCGGGCCACCTTGCCTTAGTGGGAGACTGCCGATGTGTTAATAAAAAATTATATATATATATATATATATATATATATATATATATATATATATATATATATATATATATATATATATATATATGTCGTGCCGACTAGGCAGAACTTGCGATTTTGGCTTAAATAGCAACGCTCATCTTGCCATATAGGACAAGCGAAAATTTGTGTATGCAATAATTTCGCCAAAATCATTCTGAACCTAACGAAAAAAGATATATTTCACTGTGTTTTTTTAGTATTAAATTATTGTAAACAAATCTAAAATATATTTAGTTGGGTTAGGCTAAAATAAATTGTTCTGTTATAATAAGGTTAGGTAAGTTTTCTAAGATTCTTTTGGTGCAAAATTAGAAATTTTTACATTAACATTAATGAAAGAAATATATCTTTAAATGTATAAGAGAAAATTTCAGAAAGGACTTAATTTTAAATGAGTTCTTGCTAATTGACCAGTTTTACATATTCGGCACGACATATATACATATGTATATATTGAAGCATATATGTGAACAGTATTTAAATAAAGGTCGGGAAGTTTTTATTGCATTTATGGATTTAGAAAAGGCAACTGATAGAGTGGATAGGGGAGCAATGTGGCAGATGTTGCAAGTATATGGAATAGGTGGTAAGTTATTAAATACTGTAAAGAGTTTTTATGAGGATAGTGAGGC